GCCAAACACCATGTTATTTCCAACCCCTAAACCAGCAGATGTATTCTATATGTCACTTATATTGACAAAACATCACTAACAAATAAGATTTATTAATTAGAGAAAGGCCTCAACGGCACTGGATATAGCAAGTATTGCAATATTATTACTTTCACTTATATTAATGATTTGTGTCTGATGGCCACGTGCTTGGGTTGTGGGTGCATTTATAAGAGTGCTGGTCAAGTCCAACTTTTCAGTCCGACCAGAGTTGGTGGTGAATGCTGTTGACCAGCTACCTTCCATCTAGTGTACCTGGATATAGCAAGTATTGCAATATTATTACTTTCACTTATATTAATGATTTGTGTCTGATGGCCACGTGCTTGGGTTGTGGGTGCATTTATAAGAGTGATGGTCAAGTCCAACTTTTCAGTCAGACAAGAGTTGGTGGTGAATGCTGTTGACCAGCTACCTTCCATCTAGTGTACCTGGATATAGCAAATATTGTGATATTATTACTTTCACTTATATTAATGATTTGTGTCTGATGGCCACGTGCTTGGGTTGTGGGTGCATTTATAAGAGTGATGGTCAAGTCCTACTTTTCAGTCAGACAAGAGTTGGTGGTGAATGCTGTTGACCAGCTACCTTCCATCTAGTGTACCCGTACAAATTAGGGACAGCTATGCATAGATAGCCTTTGCATGAAATTCTGAAACAAGGTTATTTCAAAATTCAGTAGAATATGATAAAAATATGAAGAGTTAGAAGCAGCTATATGTTTTAAGTTGTCTCCAAATCTCAGAACAACAAATGGATATATATATATATATTTACATCCACCTCACACTTTAAACAGTATTTAATAGTCATGATAATGGCATAATTTATATACTAATATTTATCTATAAGGTTCCTTCAATCTTTTCTTTTAGAGCTTGGCCCAAGAGTTCAGTCCCCACCCAATTGGCTCAGTAGTAAGTCAGCAGGCTTACCACACTAAAATTATGGTTTCAATACCCATGGTGGGTAGGATACAGATAGCCCATTCTATAGCTATGTGCTTAACAACAACCAAACCAAAAGTTAATAATGCTGCAGACTGCTTGCACTGATATAATCATCGTGCTGTAGGTGGC